GCCAAAGGCAAGCCAAAGGGCGAAGCCAAAAATAGGTAGTAGCATCAGCTGGGAAAAGTAACTGATTCACATAATGTCAGAGACCCCAAGATGACCTTTTGAGCCAGTATTTAATAGAAGGCATTGAAAATGAAGATTTCATGCCTAAGGCCATATTGATAGCATCATGGAAACTACCATAAGCCAGCACTGTTCTTCTGTGAGTTGTTTTTTTAATGATTGCTAATCTTGTTTAAGACAAGAAAAACTGCAGTTTACTTGACTGTTCTGGGTCTACAGGGAGGTTTCATTTCATTCTCCCTTTCCTTCCTCTGAAGCACCAGATGCCAGACAAGATTAGACAGCAGTTTGAACTAGAATGAAGAAAAAAAAAATCAAAAAACATTTGCATGACCTCAAAAATGCTCCTGGAACCAGACGTCCAGATCCTGGTCCTCATTTGAACCAGCTTTATATTCCATCAGTGTAACAATGCAGAGGAAGTTGACAGAAAGTTGTCAAAGATAACTTTTATGCCCTACATAGAAAGTTTTTGGGACAAATAACCAATGGTCCATGGATCATTTGTTAGTGAGCAAGGCAGAAACATATTTTCATTCTTTTCTGAAAATGCCCGGTTTTGACTTCCTTATCTTGTATGGAGGGGAAAGCCATCCCTGTTTTCTACTCATTTTGTGGGAACTGGTTTCTTTGGAAGTCTTTCCTCTGACTTTCCAAATCAAACTGTCATCTAGAAATCCTTCACCATCATACCAAAATGCAAAAATGAGTATTATTGCTGAAGGAAGCAATAGCTGAACAAAAAAGGTACTTATCCCTTATAAGGCATAACAACCCCAGGGCATCCCACAGGAGTTATCCCTATCACCACTGGATGAATAAAGATTTTTACTGGTCCACAAAGCCCAGATCATACATATTCATGCCAAACATGTAGAGCTCTTGTCAAAAAGGCTTTAGCCAAACACAAGGCAGGATGTAGGTTACTCTTGAATCAATAGCTCCTCGTATGGTGATCTACAAAATGTCATAGCAACCAGTCCTGCAATGGGTTGAACTTCCTCTGAGGTAACATTTCTGAGGGGAAGTTATGCCAACAACTCAAACCACATCTTGGGATGCAGCCCAGAGCGAGGAACTAGCCCCAGGAACTGCTGGCACCCTCCTCTTCAAGCTGCCAACTTCCTGGGTTAAGCTATATGAAGAAAAAAAGAAAAAAAAATGTGGTGAAAAACCAGGAGGAAATTGGACTGAAAATGTTCTTTCCACTGGAGTTAAGCAGTACGTGAAAGCTGGAGCATTATGTTCAGGAGACAGCCATTGAGAAGGCAGGTTCTTTGCCTCCTGTGGGTTGCTGAGAGGGGATTAGCCCCAGAAATGACCTTCTGCCCTGCTGTCAGTCTTGCCAGCACCTTTAAAGAATAACTGCCTGTGCTGTGACCTCCACAGCACACCAGCTTGTTATACGAGACACATCTAGCCTAAACTATGTTCTCCCAGCACACCAAGACTCATGAGGGACCAGCACTTAAGAGATCCCCAGGCACAGGGAGAATAGCTGGGTGGGGAAACAGAAAGAATTTCTGGTACGTTTTTAACCAGTAGGGTTGAGTACAAAACCTGAAGCTCTATTTTTCCAGTTGTGAAGATATCTGGAGATACCTGTGTCCTGTGTTCTTAGAAACACTTGTGTCCAAAACATCTGAATGCTGGAGTGTCATGGCCTGGACTGGAAATGCTTGTGCTGTAACTCACACAGTACAGAGTGGCAATGATGTAGCCTCAATCAGGGGATCCCAGATGTTCTCCAGCCACAGAGCATCACACCACGAGGCACAGTGTTGTGACTCCCACCATGACTTTGAGGAGTGCCCTGGGACTGCACTGCCCTACAGCACGCAGCACCAACAGCCAGTAGATAAGATTTTCTCAAACTGTTGCACCCTGTGCTTTCTCCTTCATAAAGTCCACCCTTCACACTATAATCAGCATCCAGATACCCCTCCTCTCCTTGGGACTCACATTGCCACCTCTTCACCCACACATGCATGTGCTTCTTGTGCTCTGCTGGGGATGAGGAGAAAGGGCAGGGGATCGTATGCCCCTTCAGGAAAGGCTGATTAGATTATTTCAGCCTGCTCCCCTTAAAAATGTATAGTTATGGACCAACAAATAGCACACCCAGGGGTGACATTCCCCACATAAACGATTACTTAAGGATTAGTCACGCAGCTGTACCCAGAGCATATGGCTGGCTTTACAGGAAGGATTGTTATAGCATAGATGAATACAGATGACCAAAACTGCCAGGACAGGGGCCCATCCTTCCACTTCAGCTGGCTAAAAAGTTTGTTTCAGGAGCTCTGCAGGGCTGTATTTGGTGCCTCCTAGAAGCTCCTGCAGCACGGCAGTTGGCAATCATGAAAGGCAGGAAATCCTTTGCAAAAACAAAGGAGTGGAGAACACAAAAAAGTGTCTGATTTCCTGATAAATCTTGATCACTGCAACAAAAGGTCCTCCCCCTCCAGCTGGCAGTTTCTGAAGGACAGTAGAAAGACAAGAACTTTCCACAGCATTTTTGACTGCAATATTCATAGGGGAACCCCAGGAGCTTTTTGCGCAGCCTGAGCACACAGTCACGGTGCAAACTCCCCTGCACAGGGCCCGTCCTTTCCAGCAAGCTGAGCCCAGCCAGTTCGTGTTCACCTTCAAACCCAGGAGCAGAACTTGCTTTGGGAAAGCTGCTCTGTGCAGTGCCCTAATCCAAAGTTTAGCCCTGGTAAGGGTGGAAAACATGCCCCAGGTGACTTCACCAGGATTTCAAATCAGTTGTCCTTTACATTAATAATTGTGGCTTTCAGCAGAGTGGCGTTCAGCATGTAGGACTGTAGGATATAACAGATGCGCTTTGGTTGCTCTAGTTTTTTCAAATTGCTAGTTTATCACCCTCGTAACTCTGTGAAGAAATATCCATAGGGAACATATATATTTCTGGGGGGTGGGGAGGGTGGCTGGACATGCCACACTCACCCCCTAATGCTGTGCTACCAGCGCATGTACAGGCACATGAAGTCCCCCATGAAACGAGACCAGCCTCCTGCTCTCACCGGAAAACACACATCATCACTCCCTATCCATGTTTTCACGCCTGCGAAATCATGAACAAGACAATTACAGAGCAAGCCTTGTAGCAGCAAGCCTTAATTATCAAGGCACCTCTACCTTCATAATTTCAAATACTTGTCAGCAGGAAAAAAAAAAAAAAAAAAAAGGAAAAAAAAAATAGGAAAATGTCAAGCAAACCACAGATGCACTGAGAGACATGATTATTACATGATTATTATCTTCCCAACACCACCACCATGTTTTCCTCCTTTAGCCATGGCTCTTCTCCAGGCTCACTGGAAGCCAGCTTGCTTGCTGCCTCCTCGCCAAGCCTGTGGCTCTCTGTGTGCTTTGTGTCACCTCTCCCCACTCTCCAGCTCAGTCAGCACCCTACAGCTGCTCAGAGGGGGCCCTTTGGTGGCAGGACACAGCCACGACCAGGCTCAGGCCCCAGCTGCCCATGGCCCTCCAGGGGCACAGTAAATGGCGGAGTTGGGACCAAGGCAGAAATATTGAGTGAAAGCAGTCCAAGGCTCAGCCAGAAATGCTCGCTCTAGGGATGGAAATCTGCAGCATGGAGAGGAGCAGGGGAGGAATAGGGTTAAGAAAAAATCCTGGTGCAGCTCTGCTCACCAGGAGCTCCTGTTGAAGCCACATGGGGTGCACCAGGAGGGGCTGTCGGTGCTGCTGCCCCATGGCCTAGGTCCTCTCCTGCTCCTCAGGGAAAGGATCAGCAGGGCACGGCCCAAAGACACGAGGCACTGGCTGTACTCTGTTTTTTAAGGTTGGTGGATGGTTTTGTGTCAGCAGAGCCAGAGCTTTTATGAACAAGAAATGTTATTTCTTCCCAGGCTCCAGGAAATGAACCAAGAATCCTTTCCTGGGCACGGAGAGCAGGCATAGAGCCACACAACCCAGCTCCCACCCAGTTACAGGGAAAAGATGCAGAACAGGGAAAGGATGGATCATCTCAGGGCAGCGGACAGAGGACAGACCAAAAGCTGTTTTCTGATGACTGCAGTTCAGCAGCTAGCACCCAATAAAATGAATTCAAATTCCTTTCTCACAAATCACCTACGGCTTGCTCCCACTCTGTGGATGGAAATAATGAAATGTCCTTGAGAAATTGAAATCCAGCCACTGTGTACATTTCAAGTGCCCCAAACTGCTAGATTGAAGATGTGGCTGATTCACCATCTCTAATGACCTCCCAAACCTAGGAAAAGGACAGATCAGAGAAGGTTTTTTCTAGGCTCCCCTGGACTCAGGGGAAACCATAGCAGCTCTGCTAAATGAAAAATAATATAATGCAGGTCCCAGTCCTCTATTCATGATCATTTAGCCAGGTGTGATGCTGTCAATAGCAGTGGCTATGCATTACTTTAACACAGGTGTAATTTAGCAAAGGGTCATGTCTGCTTTTTTCCCCTAAAGAGCCCTCACAAAAAGCAATCTGTCAGACCTTCCTATTCAGATCATTCCCAAGTTATGTTCTGCAATACAGTCATAGAGAAAAATGTAGAGTGCTTTCAGTTTAAAGTGAGATGATAAAAGAATACATGATAGCCAGCAAGAAATTTCAAGGGGGGAGAGCAGTCCTTCCAACTCCTCTTGGGGTCTGACATTACAACTCCTCAGGCAAGTAACCTAATAACTTACTTCATTCATTCCTTTTAGTGGGAGGTAAACCCAAGTCCTAACTATTGCAGATCTCATGCCTGGCTTGGGGTCTCAGTTTTTCTAGCTCTAATGAGTAGGTGTTTGCCATCTGAGAAAGCTCACTGTTAGCGGAAGGGCAGCTAATGGGCATAGGTGACCTTCTGAACAAGTGTCTCAGCCTGCTGCAGAATGCAGACATCTGTGTACAAGTGGGTTTCTTTGCAGGGTACCCTCTCACAGCTTTTGGTGCTGCCAGGAAACTTTCAGGGACCTTAACAATGTTTTTCAGGTTCTGCACAACACATGTTGCACAAAGCCATGAGCTCTTTTCTGCATCCTACTCTGTGACAAGCAAACCATTTGATCCATACCCTTTCAGAGCCACCAGAAGGCTCCTATTAGCTTGGCTGAGTTTGAGTTAGGCCTAGAGGCAATTTCCTGAAGAATCAGCTATTTTTTGCCAGGGTCCAGCACATAAGGAGGTGAGGTAAACATGCGAGCTGGTAGGACTGAAGATGTACAAAGGGTAGAGGGATGTCCATACCACTTACTGCCAGGCATCTTTGAGGAATTCCTCTCTTTTGCCCCACTGGAAGTGAAGGCAGGCAAGGACTCCCACCTCTCCAGCACAGACAGATGAATTAGTGCTTAGGTTTGTGCCATTGGTAATATTCACGCACAGTTTGACAGGTTTGGAAATGAGAAGAATAAAATTCAACCCTGCCCAGTTTTGGCAGAGTGGCAGGGGGATACTCACCCTGTCCAGATTAACAGAGCTGTGAGCACATCAGGACATCCAGGCTATGTACAACCCATGGCAGGCAAAATTAGTGGGTGGTGCACAATATTAATTCTGCTCCTTATCCATGTGCACCAGGATGCTGTCTTTAATTAAATTAACATAAGCTCTCTCTTTGACATTCTGATTTAATATTATAGGCTTGGGGGTTTATCCCATTAAATGTGCAAAATGTGAATGCATCTCAGACTCATTTTTTCATTTGTTTCTCTGTACCCACACAGTTTCAATTGTCTTAATGATCTAGTTTGTCTTTGCCAGCTGGGACGTATGCAGTGTTTGGTTCTTAAAAGGGGAGAACAAATCACTACAGTGGCTCCTCTACTGCAGGGCTGTGGGGAGCATCCCACTGAGATGGACAGCATGATGGCTGTCATCTTCCCAAAAGTCACCCTGAGCCTGTGGGACCATGCTAACTGAAGAGCAATTTATGCTGGGCTCCAATTCAATCCCTGCCCCATTCACCAGGGCAGAGCTTCTGTGGGTCCTTTGACCATTCCTGAGCAGATGAGGAGGGCTCTCTGGAAAGGCTGTTCTCCCTGGGCTGTTTTCTCTCTTTTAAAAGCACTTTTCGTGTTGTCAAGTGGTGTGAAAGTGTCATGGAGAGCCTTATTCAGTACACAATGTACAGAGCAGGGATGGGTCATGCTTTCTCACTCATAGAGGGAGATTCCCTTGCACACAAAGTCTCCAGGTGACACTGACCTGTTTTGTTAAACCTCACATCCAGTTCCCTGCCCACCATAACTGTGGGTCTCCTTCCTGGCCAGCTTTCTGCCACCAGGCAGCTGAGTCCCAGCCCCAAACCCATCCCAAACCCTTCATCAATACCAGCACTTTCAGCGCAACGGTGCTCGCTCTCCACACACAAAAGGCTTGCTGCAAGGTAGTGAATACAAGGATTTTCCCCACTTGTTCTTTTTTCTGCCTGCTTGTCAGAAGCCGAGGAACCAGACTACAGTTTTGCAACACGTGGTCTGTGTGCTTCCATCCAGTCTTCGCATTTGCATGTTCCTGCCTGAATTAATCACTTAAATTAATGCTTGCTGATTTTCTCACGTCAATAAATGCACTGAATGCAAAACAATATCATCCTTACAGTGACTATTTCTAGCTCTACAGCTACAGATTAAAACAAAATTTGCTGATGTTTCAGAACCAGCAAAATCAGGCATCTGCAGTACAACTCTGATGCTAAGCAGACTGTTACTAATGATGGGATGGCTTGTATTAAACATTACATGGTTATTAAAACTACTTTTAAATGCTTGACCACAGCAGCATAAAGCTCACTTGCTTTGCTCTTTAAAGGTAATGGGAACCTGCTGTACTGCAGGGTCATTATCAGGTTGGTTGTGCTGCTGGTGCTTTTCTGGCACCAGTGGGTGTCTTCTCTTGATTCAGCATCTGAATCTTTTTTGGATTTTTACAATTATTCCACCTTAATCTAGGAACCCATCTTCTTCTTCTCCCGCTGTAGGTCTAACTGGACCCAGATCCGTCAGCCTACAGAGAGAGGGCAGGAAACAGCAGGCCAGGTTGATGAGAGTAGGGGTACTCCTGCACAAAACCATTCCCTGGGGACAGCCCCACTCTGACCGTGCCACATCTCCTGCTGGAGCATTGGCTTGGCCTGATCTCCATCTCTCTGTCTACACCATGGTCAGTGAGCTGGCCGGGCACCGTGCAGTCCTCTCTGAGCCAGAAGCAGAGTGCGCTGTGCTGACGGTGATTTTATAGCTTAGTCTGGTAGGGTTCAAGGTTTATTTTTACTAAGAGCTGACAGCTAAAGCAATATCAGCTGCCATGCACGAGTCCTGTCACCCACCCCCAGCTCAGGCATGAAGGGTCACTCACAGAACCCAAACCCGAAGAGAGCAAGAGGCAGCACACAAAACATCGTCTCTGATGATATTTAGCCATTAAAAACTGAGTCCTACCAAGCTGCCTTGTAGCTACGCTGAGGCTTTAACATAAAGTCTCTCTGTCAGGCCGCTCCCTTTAGCGAAACCAACAGCGCTTTCAGGGGAGCATTTTGTAGGAGAGGTTATGTTTTAGCCTGGGCTTCACAGGAAGTAGCTATCCCAAAACAAGGGCAGTCCGGCCTACTGCTTCCTGCCCAGTGCTGGGGCTCCCATTTCTCTCCACCGACCTCAAATCAAACAGTATGGACCAGAACACACACCTCGTGCATCTTTGCTGCTGCTCGTGTTTCTCAGAAACTGCACGATCACAGAGTCAGGATTTTTTTTTTAGCAAAATGTTTGACTTCAGTTTTGGTTTAGAGTTTCAGCCAGGTTTCGTCAGGTTTATGCCCAAGAATATTCTAATGCCCTTTCAAAACTTGTCAGAATGCCTTATCCAACCATTTCTAACTGGAAAATTTGCAAATCTTTTTTTTTTCTTAAGAAATTAATCCAATTGGCTATGTTTAATTAGAGTTGTCAGTATATTCACATCTTCTGAAAACAAAATGTTTGATGGATGTCATTTTTTCATCCCAATATTTTCCCAGGCTTCTTGCTAGTAAAACTGTTCATGGCTTTATCATCTCATCCCAGAAAAGAGTTACCCTACAAAATATTTTCAAAAAGCAGGAAAAAAAAAATCCCTGTTTTTCCCTCATTTTGACCAACTGAAATTGCAGCGATCGCAGCAGCACTGTGCTCGCATGCCTCTCACAGGAGCTCAGGCTCCTGAAAGAGCAAGGGAATGCTCACTCCAGGGTTGACTTTACTTAATTAAACTGAAGGAATATTTTAGCAAATGACAAGGATTCTTCCCAGACCCCACCCTGATCAAGCTGTGCGTCGAAACATGCAATTTGGTGATTTTTTTTTTTTTTAAGCAAAATTACTGTCAGGCTTTGTGACCCAGCAGGAAGACAGGCTATTAACGAGTCAGATATTTATAGTGCGGATGTCAATAATTCGGACTATTTAATCACCGCTTACTTCGATTTGTCCACAGCTCAGGCAAAGGAGCAGGCTGTGCCAAGGGCAATGGAAGTGCACGGAGCTGGTCTCAGGTCTGGGATCTGGCTGTGGGTCACTGGAGCAAGCATCCATGGCAAATTTCCTATGTGCATGTGTCCCAGCCTCCATGTTAGGCAATTGAGTCATGTACTTAATAAGCCTTATAATTAGATAATTACCTAACGGTGAGTTTCTGATGATCCATCCCAGCACAGACGCTAGTCTAAAAGGTGCTCAGAGGCAGATCTCTCCGGCACACCTCCCAGCACAGCTGTTCAATGACAAAATGGCCCCCAGATGTTTTTGCAGGACCCAGGTGCCTTCCAGCTGTGCCCTGCTGCTGTAATGGGAGGAGACAACGCGTTCAGGCTCCCACAGCTCACAGCACAGCCCTGCACCCCTAAGGTCCTTCTGGGGACTTCTCCCCACCTGCAGCACACAAAGGACTCCTGGATTACAAAAGCAGGGCAGAAATACAGTGGTATTTTGCCAAACTCCTCTTCTTGCCTTCAGCAATCTGCAGTTTAACAGTCTAGAGGGATTTTTTTTTCCCCTGGATTTGCTCTTCAGCTAGTTTTTTAATCTCTTTAAGCAACCAGCACCCACAACCACAGCAGAGGTCAGCTCTGCCTTGTGGGAAGCCCTCAAGACCTTCCCCTCTTTTGAGCATCCACCTGGAAAACATCATTAAGCATCTCCAATTTCTTGCATAAGAAGCACATAATGGACCCAACCTCTAATCAAGCCATGCTGGGTTATCCATCCTCCAGCCACGGCTGGATCCTGTACATCTGCTAATGCTCAGCAATGTGTGGTCTTAAAGGAGCTGTGGGTGGGGATGGGAAAGATTTGTGTTTTTTGACTAATGGCACGGCATATATTTTGCTTGCAAAAGGCCTCTCAGATATGAAGTTTCACAAATCTTATGGAAGGGTCTTTTCTGAGTGCCCAGAGATGGTGCACAAGCTAATCCTGTAGCACTGAGATGATAAAAGCACACCCTGAAGAAATGAATAATTGACGGCCAGCCCTAAATATTAATAGCATACAAGGGGGAGAAGACACTTTCCTCAACTTTGCACTTACCAAGCTGCCTGTTTGGATTTGAGCGGAGATATTCTCACAACCGCTCCAAGCTCCTTAAAGCCCCTCCTAGAAGTCTTTGGAGCTCCAAGCTAATGCTACCTTCGCCTGAAATCCCCCAGCTCATTTTCTATTCAAACCTCAAGAGGAACACGGCAGTGTTTATCAGAAGACGTGATCCAAATGCAAATGGACACGGAGGACTCTTGCTGAGTCCCCTGTCACACACACAGCAGCATCTGCATGGGAGAGAGGATGCACAGAGCCAAGGGACTGGGCGCAGTGAGCTGGGACGCCTGGCCAGGGCTGCTTGACACGATGCTGGGGTGGTGTAGGGGTTACTGAAGGCCCCAGTAGACCCCCTCCAGCTGGCTAATGCTCATTTTGGGAGTGTTTTACAACATGCTGCCCCAGCAGGGAACATATCCCAGCCTGATTTTTAAGCAGGAACAGACCAGTGCAGCTCTGTGAGTTGCAGAAGCAGGGACAGGCTTTGTGCTCACCCCCATACACTGCCCCAGTGATGCTGCAAGAAAGAGCACGTAGCTGAGTGCCCACACGGGAGCATGCCTTCAGCCTCTGCAGGCTGCGATGCCAGAGCTGGAGCAAGCCACTGGCAGGTATCTGACAAATGATGAAGGATGCGATTGGATTTTTTTTTTCTCTAAACTAATCTGAGAGTGGAAGTGGGGCTCTGCAGACAGTGCATTGCGGGCGCGAGGCAACAAAACTCCCCTGCAGCATTCACCAACCCCAGGCCAGTACAAAAATAAGCAATGTATTAATTTAAAAGAGAGAGACACAGAAAGAAATATTCTCTATTCTTTCGTATGACTTAGGCTGCTCTCTGCTGGCTCTGTGTGCTCTGCACATGTTCGTGGTCAGGATCACCAGCAGCATTACCAACAGTAACATTCATCCCCAGATCAAGCCCTGGGAGGGGAGACACAGGGTCCCCTGCTCATCTGCCACTGGCTTCATAGAGGAATTTAGACCTCTGCCTTTATAGTTTTCTGACCTAAGCTTCTGTACCCCGCTTTCACCTCTTATTCCACATTTTACACCTTGCTAACCCAAATGGCCTGGTGTGAAGTCCGGACTGATTTCTAGGTTATCCCAGTAAAATCTGGAAAGGGCCTTAATGAGTTAACACTCCCACTGTTAGGGGGCTAAAATACCCAAATAAAAGAACTTTCCTCTACACTTACTTGTGTTAAAGCATCTCTGTGAGGCTCCATGACTTCTAGACCTGACTTCTTTGCTGGCAGCAGTAGCAGTGTGGCAGCACCTCTGCTGAGGAAGCAAGGGGTTGGGGACAAAGTGCATTTGAACAGCAGACCACATTTGGCTTGGTCAGCCTCAGGAAGCAGAAAAACAGTCATTTGCAGCCAACACTGTTTTTGGGGATGGTTTTGAACTTTTTAGTGATGGGGGTGTGCCAGGTGCTGAGAAGCACTGCCCCAAGGGAACCCTGTGGAAGCTGCAGCCAGCCCAGCCCCAGCCAGGTGCACCAAATTTCTATGAACTGAGCCCAAACGTGCCCCCCCTCTGCCTAATGTTTTGCAGGTGTTTGACCATTTACATCAGATCAGCTTCAGCTTTTGAGGACTCAGTGGGGTTTGCTCAGCCTCCATTTCCCTGTGTCAGGAGGCAGAAATGGTCTCAGCACTGGAGGGGTGATTCAAGTCCCTGTCCTCCAGCCAAGCCTACCACAAAGGGCTGTGGCTGGAGAGCTGTCACTTCCCCAGTGGACATGCCAGCGACACACCCTCACAGAGGCCCCGCCAGCCTCCAGCCAGCAAAACCTGATGGTTAAAGCCCACCTCTGAGCGTGGTTTTGCTGATGGCTCATCTCACAAGTTCCTCCTGGAGGAAGGACAAGAAGGAGCTTGTGGGCAGCGATCGAGGTACAGCTGCTCTTCAGCAGCTCATTTGGAAGCCCAGCCAAGGAGAAAGAGCAATTTGAGTAAATGAACAAATAGGTCTAAAATGGCCTCAAATAGCTTTTGGCTGTAAATTAGGAGACACCTAACAGAGCAATGTTCTTGAGTCACTTTGCACAAGGCACAAGCAGAGGAGAGAGCCCCCCGTGCCTGCTGTTTACAATGGAGCCAGGTGAGCTCATGAAGGAGCTGCCCCAAATCCCTTCCTCCTCATGGAGCAATGCAGAGAAACCTTAAGAAACAAGTTTTTTATGGGGTCAGGCAGCATTATGTTCCTGTTTCTTTCCTATGCTAATCCTTATCAGACAGCTGATGCTTCACTGCGTCGCAGAAGCAACCATGTCCATGGGCATCCGCCACATCCCAAATTTAGAACACTTTTTAACAAGCTAGGAGAAGCAAAATAAACAGCACTTGATCTGCGAAGCTTCCCATTCTTGACAGCGTCCCCAGAGGTGGTGGAAAGCCGAGGAGATAGCTCCTTTCTTTAATTGGTACATTAAAATTCTTCCAAGCCGCTACACAACTGTTAATAGGCAACTTAATTAAGTACTAACCCAGTTCATATTTCCACCCTCCAGAGGCTCTTGTTTCTTTTTTTTTTTTCTTTTTTTCTTATTACAGCCAAAGCCATAGGGAGTTTTGTCCTTATCGTGTAAAACAAGCTGAGGGCACTGACACCAGACAATTTATTTAACTCCTGATCTCAAGACACCTCTGCCAGATGCCCAGGCCAGCACTTTCTTCCCTAAAAAGAAGACTTGGAGAAATGATCTGTCTCCTTTTGCCACTCTACAGCAAGGGGTCCTGCTGTCCCCGTTTGAGCAGAAAACCTTCAAAGCAGATTAATTACTTCCCACAAGGCAGAAAAAAAAAAAAAAAAAAAAAAACAAAAAGGGAGCAGACCCAGGACTCTGGGAACAAGGTGCGAATTGCTACAAGTCAGCAAAAATAAATGGCGAAAATCCTCAGCAGCAGCAGCAGTCGATTCACCCCTGCTGGGTGCCAAAAGGAGCCGCTGCCAGGCAGTGACAGCTCCTCTCCAGACATCGGGTGTGAGCACACAGGCGTGTTTTAGGCAGTTGTGTGACGTATTTTAGGCAGTTGTGTGACTGAGTAGCCTCCTGCAGCCTCGCAAGAGCACCCCGCAAATGCAGAGAAGGGGCAAAGGAAAGAAGGTGCCATCTCCTGGTCCCGAGGGCTTCCATACCTGGCTGCTCCAACCACCTGGCTCTTGTTGCTATCTGCTGAAGGGATCACAGGAGGGAGTCCCAACATCATTGTAGGGCAACTAATTCCCTGCGTGCAGCTTAAATGTCAGGCTGGTTTGATGGGGCTGCCAAGGAGGTCCTCAGCAATGGTGTTCTCAGTTTTCCTCTTCTTTCTAAGGCCAGGCTGGGGTAAATCAAAACCTGCTTCAACGGCTGCCGTGTAAAGTGAACAAATAGTGGGGTTTCCATTACAGGTGAAATATGAGCCATTAAAAAAAAAAAAGGAAAAAGAAAGAAAGAAAATGGGATTTCACTGCTGCCAGGCACACTTATGGTAATACCCACAGACAGAGGAAGGAGATGTGACTGCAGAGAAGCCAACCAGTCTGCTAGGTTAGGGAGTGAAGGAGCATTTGTTGCTCGAGATGAATGAATATGAATCCTTCTGCTCAAGGAGAAATGGTCTGTTTGTCTCAGAAGCCTTGTACACCAGCAGGCACATTGCCAATGCGTGCGTCATGATTCGTGATTGAATGGTGAAGCTGATGGGGATTTTCCTCCCTGAAAAATAGGGTCTGTCTCCTGCTGTACCATTTTTATTCCAAGGGAAACAAAGGGTTTGATTGCCCCTAAACACAGTTGTAGTGCTAGAAATCTCCAGCTATACTAACGTTACCAAACAGCTGGGCAAGGGACAGTGAGGGAAGTGCTCTGGCAACACAAGTCAAGGCGGCCATATAGACATCAAATATTTTGCTGATGTACTGTCCCATGGGTAGAGACACAATCAGGAGGCCATGGTGACAAACTGCCCCCTTAGATCCTGGGTTGAATGGAAGGATTAAGCCAGACAGGTTGCCCCAGCAAGCACCCCTTTGACCGGGACTGCATGAGGAGCAGAAATGTGCCTCGTTGCATCATCCAAAAAGGGGAGACACCCAATGGGTTAAAAAACTGCAAAACCATATGCGTTAAAAACAGACCACTAAGCATATTGTTGAAAATGCCCATTCCTCCCCACACTGAAAAATTAAAAAAAAATAATAATAAAAAAAAGCCACTATGGAAAGAAAATAGTAATAACAACAAAATGAAATAATATGGTAATTTTCGTGAGGAGCATAATCTTACAGTCATTTCTGTGGATGGCACATACAAAAAGAAAACCTAAACCTGACAGAAACTTGCTTTCCTTTCCTTTTTTTTTTTTTTTCCTTTTGCCAGCAGAAATGAAGACAGAGACCACCCAGGAAAAGCAGACACTGAAGAAATAAATCAGAACCTGGAAAAAAAAAAAAAAGCCAAATTTAATTTTCTGAGAAAGAAGTAAGGATCTCCTCAAAGATCTCCTCATTGGGTCCAAGGCACTTCAGCAAACTCCCTGCAACAAAAGCCCACAGGGTCAAAGTGGTACAAGACGACCTGCTGGGGCTCCCCAGGCTGGTCCCTAGAGGAGCTAAATCCAGATATTCCCATCTCTGTCCCTGTGTGCTGGAGGGATTTTGGGATGGGAATGCACCAGGAATTTCTGGGACGTGGGTGGGAACCACCCCACTTGGTGTATGACTGTGAAGAGGGAATCCATGTGGGAAAAAGCCTAGTTGGGCACTGCCAGGTTTGAATGGCCCCAAGTGCTGTTGGTGTCACGTCTCCCCTCCCCGCTGAGGTGCCTGAGCCAAACACGGTGACTGCGGGTTTGAGACAGGACTAGAGCTTCCTCGGCTGCTCTGTTTGATAGAAGTCATCCTCTTCTGCATTCCCTCAGGAAACATTTGCCCTGAAGTTTGAGCAAGGAGAAATCTACCCTTAGTCTTTGGTCTCTGCCAGGACAGCCAGAATGCTGTTGTTGGGAACACACACAGCCAGCAGCTCAGACCCCTTGTGGGTTTATGCTGACCACCAAAGCTTCCTGCATGAACTTCCACCGCCACCCTGGAAGGCAGCTGCTTGCCCGCAGACAGTAGCTCACGCAGCCTGGCGAGGCTGCAGCACTCAGCATTGCTGCACGCAATGATTTTGCAGGGAAATTCCCCTTTTGTCACAGTACAACCTGCTCAGATCCACCGCTCGGTCTTTGATCCTGTAGCACCGTCAGTACCAGCAGCAGTAATTTGGGCAAAAACATTTCTTCCACAGGTGCAATCTGTTTTAGTTGATAGCACATACTCCTGAGACACTGGGGACTGCTTGATGTGTGAGCAGGGTTTCCCACAGACCCAGCTGAAATGACAGCTAATACTTGCATACTTGCAGGTGGTGGTGGGAAACTGCGTGGATATTTAAATACAGACACACAGCTGCAGAGGCTGTAGCATCAAAAACTTTTAAACCACTTACTACACTTTTATTTTTACACTTTCTTGGATAGCATAGCAAGGAGACGAGGGAACATTATTTCCTGGAATATTTCTCTTCCTTTCTCTTCCAAGTTTTGTTTGGCTACATGGTACTGCTTCCAATTTCTACATCTCTTGAGGGATACACCAATTTCATGCTATTTAACAGAGATTAACATTTCCCTCTTGGAATTACAATAATTATTTTTTTAAAAAGAATTATCTAAACATTTCCATTTGCACAGACCATTTCCTTAAAGTGTCAGGAATGTGAGTTACTATTACCCAACTGTCCCTTTTATATTTAATACCGAGTTTTAGTTTGATTGAAACACTGTAGGTAAGTGTTAAGAACGTTTCTTTTAGTAGGTATATTCTTACAAAACCATTTGGCCTTAAGGACAGTGCTCTGATGGGGCTGCATACAGTGACTTTCCAGAAGCCAGCTGAGAAGACTGCAGAGCAGAGCATTCTCCCTCCCAGCTGAAGGGAGGGAAGAGCCCAAACCTGCATTTGCCTTGCAGTAGTTCTCTTAACCACTAGATGTCTTTGTGCACTGCCTAGCACTCCAGAGCACTGCTCCTGGTGTCCAGGGCCTGACTGATTTTGTATGAAAGTTGCAGAGAGGCCTTCGTTTGTCCATTGCATTTTTTATTTTTAACTTAATAATTGCCTTGTATCCAGAAGAGCTGTAATCCCACAATACTGCCTACACATCCTGCACTGCCACAGGTTATACAAGTACTCCGTGAATAACAATAGACAGTAGTGGTCTGGGTGCTCCACAGGCACAACCCTCCACCAAGTGTCACTACATCCCTTCCACGATCTGTCACAAAGCATAGACAGAAGTGATAGCTCCCACCAGGCCTTTCCATAACATCTGCCCAGCTCCTAGCACAAGGCAGCTCCATACACATATATGCAGCTCTATTTCTTCACTGTTCGAGCAGGATGCACACAAATGTGGAATGATCTGGTCCT